GTGCCAACCAGCTGTTATAGTGGGTTGGATACCTCTGATCGGTATCAGTAGGGTCTTTGGCCAACCTGGACGTTCTGTCTCAAACGTATAACCCTCCCAGACGGGCCAACACTGCSTGCCTCCTGGATGTTTCCTCCTGGCCTGCGGCACGGGCTGCGGGCCCCCCTCCGCATAAGCCTCCCAGACAGGCCAACTCTGCGTGCCTCCTGGATGTTTCCTCCTGGCTTSMGGCACGGGCTGCRGGCCCCACYCCCAGACGGGCCAACACTGGGTGCTTCCTGYCAGTTCCTGGATGTTTCCTCCTGGCCTGCAGCACGGGCYGCGGGCCCCCCGTGGTCACCAAATGAAATTAAATAGGCTGCCGCGAAGGGGTCAAATGAAAGTGTGGTGTGTGTGCGAGAGTGCTGGCCTTAGACGCCACTGCCATTCGATTGGGGGTGGGGAAGATGAAAAAGGAAGGTGCTGTTACTGGCCATCAGTGCGGGCTGGGGGGCCCTGAAATGAGAATGAATCTTCCGCTATAAGATTCATCCTCATTTCAACGTTGGGAGAGAGAGAGAGAGAGAGGGTCTCTCTCTCTCTCTCTCTCTCTCTCTCTCTCTCTCTCTCTCTCTCTCTCTCTCTCTCAACCTCTCACGAGAATGAATCTTCCTCTTTATCGAGGAAGGTTCATTCTGGTTCGGCATGCATGATTTCAGCTGTTTTTTTTTTTGCAGAAAGTTGTATGTTTTTTTTGTCTTTTTCTCTTTTTTTTTTTTTTTTCTGTGATGCTACCTATTGTCCGAGGCTAGGCAATAAAGTCCAAGGCTAGCCTTAGGAGTGGTTGTTATATATATATATGTGGTCACAGCCCCTCGTTTGTTGTTCTCTTCCACCTCTCTGCCTAGTGTTTACCGGGACACTCTGTTTGGTGATATCTATATATATACAGAAGACACCCAAGGTAGTGCTAGGGATGCTGATAAGAGCAGGCACCATTGACATTCCCGGGGAGGGCCCATCTATTGGGGAGGAGCACCTGCTGGAAATCGGGTCCAGCGTCCGTGTACATTATAGTTGACTGTTTGAACAGATATTTAACTGAAAGGACAGCAATCCGCACTGATTCCGCAGGGCTTTCCTACAGAGTGAAGAGCTTGACAGGTAGACCTACCTTGCAGCCTAAGATGATTGCCCACAGGACCTCATAACTGCCATTTCATAGAAATGTACATTTTTCCTTGGGGTAACTTCGGCGCAGTCACGAAAACAGTTTGTAATTGCATTTGAAACTGCTTTTTAGCAGTTTGTTTAGTCAGGGCCCGAGTTTCAATTGCAGTTGAAACTCGGGCTGCGCAGTTCAGTCAGGGCCCTCGTCTATCCACGAACAGCAGATAAGTAAAAAAAAAAAAAAAAAAAAAATCCTTATGCTATGATTGCGGTCCGATACAGGATGCTACAGTACTTGTCTGGAACTGAATGACGCGAGGCAGAAATACGCCCTGCCTGGCTGGCAAGGCGCTACAAGGACCTCACAACAAGAAACAAAAAAGGAAAACGACCTGTTTCGCCCTGCCTGGCTGGCAAGGCGCTACAAGGACCTCACAACAAGAAACAAAAAAGGAAAACGACCTGTTTCATGTTCCTCACTTCCTGGCCAG